CTGGGGAGGTCCCAGCTGATTGGAAGTCAGTCAAGGTAACACCCATCTGTAAGAAGGGACAGAGGGATGATCTGGGAAATTACAGACCTGCCAGTTTGACTTCAGTGCCAGGGAAGCTGATGGAACAGATCATCCTCAGTTCCATTATGCAGCACATGCAGGACACCCAGGTGATCAAGCCCAGTCAGCATGGGTTTGTGAAGGGCAGGTCCTGTTTAACAAACCTGATCTCCTTCTGTGACAGGGTGACCTGCTTGTTGGATGAAGGAAAGGCTGTGGATGTTGTCTACCTTGACTTTAGTAAGGCATTTGACACTGTTCCCCCAGCATTCTCCTAGAGAAATTGACTGCTCTGGGCTTGGAGGTGCATACGCTTTGCTGGGTGAAAAACTGGTTGGATGGTCGAGTCCAAAGAGTTGTGGTCAATGGAGGTAAATCCAGTTGGTGGCCGGTCATGAGTGGTGTCCCCCAGGGCTCAGTGCTGGGGCTGCTCCAGTTTAACATTTTCACCCATGATTTGGACGAGAGGATAGAGTGCACCCTTAGTAAGTTTGCGGATGACACCAAGCTGGGTGGAAGCGTTGATCTGGTTGAGGGCAGAGAGGCTCTACAGAGGGATCTGGACAGGCTGGATCACTGGGCCAAGGCCGATATCATGAAATTCAATGAGACCAAATGCCAGGTCCTGCACTTTGGCCACAACAACCCCCAGCAGCGCTACAGGCTTGCGGTGGGGTGGGCTGGCTGCCAGGCAGAGAGGGACCTGGGGGTGTTGATGGACAGCAGCTGAACATGAGCCAGCAGGGTGCCCAGGTGGCCAAGAAGGCCAACGGCATCCTGGCCTGTGTCAGCAATGGTGTTGTCAGCAGGAGGAGGGAGGTGATCATGCCCCTGTACTCGGCTTTGGTGAGGCTGAACCTTGAGTACGGTGTCCATTTTTGGGCCCCTCAATAGGAGATGGACATGGAGGTGCTGGAGAGGGTACAGAGGTGGGCTACCAAGCTGGTAAAGGATTTGGAGCATGTGTTGTACAAAGAATGGCTGAGGGGTCTGGGGCTGTTTAGCCGTTGCTGAGAGGGTTGTCAGCCATTGGAACAGGCTGCCCAGGGAGGTGGTTGTGTCACCATCCTTGGAGGTGTTTTAGATACGGTAGATGTTGTGTTGAGGGACATGGTTTAGTAGTGTTGACAGGGGCAGGAAGAGATTGGACTCCATGATCCTGAAGGTTTCTTCCAGCTGAAAATGTTCTGTGATTCTATGATTTCAAAATACAGGTTTCTCAACAAAACAGAGGAACGAGGATGCACTTTCTACATGCATTACTTCTCAAGCTGCAGGTTTTTTGAATAATTGAACAATAAATGTAAAAATCCTTTTAAAACTAGATGTTCACAGGAAAGTTTAAAAGCAAAGAAGTTACTCAAACTCAGTACTGCTTACCAGGGAAGAAACAGTAAGGCATACGCAAATGCAGGTGATGATGGTATGAAAGAGACGTTCTGTACTTAGGCTAAGCTGAGGTAGAATTTAAGGCTAGACATATTTTGCTATGGCAGTGTGTCCTCAAAAGGGTGGAGAAATACCCTTATTTCCTATTGGGTAGAGGTAAGGATGGCAGCCCTGTTGAGTGATTAAACTAAACCAGCAGATTGATGTAGGACCTAAAAAATGATAAATAGATAGCTAGATAGACAGACAGACAGATGCTAATTAAAGATGAGCCATACCCCCATGTTGCCCAGTGCCTGTGACCATTTTGTAGTCAACGAGCTCTACCAGCTATGTCGAAAAAAATAAAATGTCCATGTGTTTTTTTCCACTAGGGACTGCTTGCAGCTGAGCCAGCTGTGTTCAACCAGCCACCCAGTCATAGAATAAAACAGCCTAGTTTGAGTCTGCGTTGTACTTGTATTTTGCCAAATAATTGCAGGAGATAGCCACCCTGCTCAGCTATTTTAGTGGAAAATCTCTATCTGAACAGAGAGTAAAAGCATTTAAAGAATAAAGGCTAATGATGCTTTATGGTAGATATGCTAATTATACAGGTTAGGATTTATATGTGGGAGTAATTTTGCTCAAGAGATGTCCTGATAACTTCCTTAAAATACTTATTTAAGTTGCAGTTAGTTGAAGATTCTATTTTCTTCTGGATGGATTACACAAGTAGCAAGGCTTTAGTAGGAGGTCCATGACAAATAGCGGAGTGCTTGTGGAGACTGATGAGTATTTTTTCAGTTTCACAATGCTACAACTTTGCAAACTGTGCTGAACAGCTACAGGTCCTGAGAATTGTCACTGATACTTTTTTTAAAAAGACGTCAGTGAGAAACTACAGGGGTCTTATCACCAAGAAAGTGTGGCACATTCACAAGGTGCATGGCCATTACTTTTTTGTACAACGAAAGCTGAGACTTTTTTATCTAATTGCTGTGCTTATCCCCACTGCAGCCGGCATGTTATAATTGCAGCAATAAGGAAGGAGAACTAATTAGTGAGAGCACAAGCCCTCTGGTAAAGATACTGCAATAGGGTGTAGGAGAAGAGAGTTAATTTCCTAGATCTTGTGTAGTTTTGCCAATGACATCGCCTACACCAGTTTCTCCATTTGTAAGGAAAAGTAGCCTGTTTTCTAATTTGGGGCTATTTTTAAGGAAGAGAGAATTAATATCAGACTTTTAAAAATGAAACAAAACAGCACAACAAATCCAACATTACTAATTGATATTTAGACCCCTGCCTTTCTGAAAGGCTATTTGCTCATATTGACAAGAAATATATTATGTCTTCTGAACTATTTGTGAATAGTGTCTCCATGACAAAAATATTTGTAATAACTTCTGCTTTCCGAGGAAGTCTGAGCTTTTTTCCTTTCTCTTTTTTTTTTTTTTTCTTTTTTTGGGGGGAATGTGAGAGGGTTTGTCATATTTTAGTGGGAATAATTTAAGATCATTAAGCCTGGGAAGATTGGGATAAAAGAAGGGGACAGAGTGGTCAGGTGTACTCACTCTGCTACTACTCTAGTAATGTGGAGGATTCGAGAAATCCCAAATGTCTAATTCGTCAGCGTTCAGAAAAACCCAGACAAAGCAAGCTACCTTCTGCAGCAGTGCAGTTTGGAAATACAGTTGGTTCACAGGCATTGCTTCTGTTTTCCAGAGCAGCCTTTTGCTGAGGAACTGTGATTGCAAAAGCCTTGTCTACAGCTTTAGCTCTGTGCCGAGCTCATTCTTGTGCATGGCTCTGGTGCTGCCCAACAATCTCATTTAACAAGTGATAGGAGAGCACTGATTTTCTTAGTTTTTAGAAAGAGCAGCCATGTGGGTAGATTTAAGTGGCCAGGGAGGTATGGAAACTTGGCTGGAAGAGGTTGAGGCCATAATTACTCCCAGTGTTCTGAAAGGGCTGGAGCCAACTAGACAACATTTAGCATAGCCACAATTTCTAGCTGTTGAGAGTAGTGTTTCAGCTTGTAAAGGGGAGGCATGTACTAGAAGATTTTACATATTAGCCTTAGATCAAAACTGGTCACAATAATACTCTAATTCTTCTCATCTGTTTTCTTCCACTGTGAGATAAATAATTTGGGGTTGCTGTACTTCAGGGACAGGATAGCTACAGCTTTGGTTGCAAGATCTTGCTCACGCTATTCCCCACCTCCATCCCCTCTGCCCCCTGAACGTGAGCGTGTGGGCTGCAAGAGAAATTCTGTAAAATGGGAGCTGGCATTAATGAGAGAAAGTGTATTCAAATGATACTGTAGCCACTGAAAATGGTGTTTGCATTGCTTTACTTAGCGACATTCTGGACTAAAATAATCTGAGAGGAGGCTGAGGGAGCAGAAGAAGGAGCATTACCAACGATGCCACTTAAGCCTGAGGACCTGTACGTAAAAGCCATGTCTTTGTCCACCTGTGGGTTACCCCAAGCTTTCATATTGCATCCATCAGCAAGTTCAGTGCTCCCTCTCGTGGCAGATTCAGACCAGTAAATCCAACAGAACACACCTGTTCATGGCAAAATATGTTTATGCTTAGCTGTGGAAAAGTACCTGGCATCCGAACTATTTTAGTGCTACTACATTCCAAGCTTAATAGACTTATAAACACAGATAGCACTGAATTCTTTTTTTTTATTGACATTGGGGGAGAAAAATCTTTCACCATCTGATTGACTGAAGTTTGCCAAATGAAAATAGACAGAACAAATGTTTATGTACGTGCAAACATTGCAGATCAAACTGCTAAAAGAAATAACTAAAAGACAGGTCTTGAGCTAAGATCAAGCAGCAGAAAAATAGCAAATAGGTAAATGACTATTAAGTAGGTCTTACTTTGAAACTTCCCATTTAAACAAAGAATAAACAACAATAACACCACCAAATAAAGCCACAGCAGGTAATAGTTGCTCTTCTAAACTTTTATACACGATATATTAATCACTCTGTCTTTCAGTTATTTCCTCTGATAAAACTGACTTCTGTGAAGTCTCAGCAAGGCCATCTTGGCTAAAAGCATAACGTTAGACAGGAGCCTGTCTAATGCCCTGTTATAATGAAGAAATGGTGGGGTTTGGCTTCTCTTTTCTTTTTTATTCTTTGTTGAATATATCGAAATGAGAATTCGATGCTATGCAAGGATCAGATTTAATTTTCCAATGCTGGCTGGTGTCTGAAGATCCTGGAACGCAAAGGTGGCTCTTGGTAAAGCAAGATTCTTCTTGGTCCGCAGGTAACATAGAAGAAAGTTTTATTTTCTGTATAAATCATGATTCATTAAATTGCTTTTTTTTTTTCATTTTTGTGTGTAAACAGTTCTTCTGGGTTTATTTGTTTCTTTTTAAGAGGCAAGACATTATGGTGCTTCTCTATAGAAATCTAGCATTTCCTTTTTGTATTAGAGGTCCATTTTGGCTCCAGTTCCAGGTTATGTCATTCTATTATACATCATCAGAGGCAGGTGTTCAGCTTTAAATATTGACAGATTTTTCTCAGTAGGAACATGTTGAAGCTTCTAACTCTGCTAAACATATTCATTTGACTGTTACAATCCAAAAACCGTAAAAATGGTGGAATGGAAAGATACAAACAGTATTATTGACACTGTATTGTCAAATGTTTGCACTGAGACCCCATGTACCATAGATTTTATTTTTAAAAAATCATATTTATATCCATTTACATAAGACTTACACATTTTAAAAGAAATACATACACAGTAAATACGTAAATGTCTAGTATTTTACAATAAAACAGATGGAACAATGTAAAAATGAGTGGCTTCATTTGATAAAAGCTTTGGATGTGCACTACTGCCAAATTTTTGATGACAGAGATGCTGAGAGGCAAGGGAAACGTTTGTACTTGTATTATTTTTAGTAGTAATTTAGGTATTCTTTATTCTTGTTTTAAATTAACCGACACATGAAAGGAACATCATATCTGTCTGATAAACCTTATGTGTTCTCTTCCCTATTACCCTGTTCTTGCAGAGAGTTTTAATGCTCTTTTTCCTAAGTAGTGGTAGTGCACTTCAGGTAAAGTAGAAGAAAGAGATGACATCTAAGGGAGAAAATAAACAAACATTAATTAGTGAGGTTCTGTGATTCTAATGTGGTGTAGGATGCAATGATACTGGAACATATTAAAGCACTAAGTAAGCTATTGCATGTTTTACTAGAACATGAATTTTGAGTATCTGAGACATGCATTTGTTGTTTAATTTAGATCTGCAACATAAATCTATTAATAATGCATTTTAATCTGAAACTAATTTATACTGCTTATTGTCCTAGATCAAAACAAACTCCTCCTTAAGTTCATCTTACAGTTGTTTTTTTGCTGTTTTGATTCAGCACTGGGTTTAGTTTCCTGCATCTGTTTGGCACAAGGCTGAACACACGTTTTAAGTTTATAGACCTTGTTGATGATCCTTGTCTGATCCTCCTTGTTCACTGCAGCTTAATACAATTATTATATACAAGTATATATGAAAGTGCAAATTTATACAACTCTCTACAACTAATTTATACATCTCTCTACAACTCCCTGAAAGGCAGCTGTAGTGAGACGGGTGTTGGCCTCTTCTCCCTAGTGAACAGCGATAGGACAAGGGGGAACGGGGTCAAGTTGCACCAGGGGAAGTTTAGATTGGATATTAGGAAAAACTTCTTCACCGAAAGGGTAGTGAAGCATTGGAATGGGTTGCCAAGGGAGGTGGTGGAGTCACCATCCCTGTTTAAGAAACGGTTGGATGTGGCACTTCAGGAGATGGTTTAGTGTTAGGGTGGTGTAGGGCTGTAGGTTGGACTCCATGATCTTAAAGATCCTTTCCAACCTTTATGATTTGATGATGCTATATACAAGTATATAAATATTATCTACAAGTTAGCTTGTATAACTGCAATATAAACATTTTTTTTTTTGCTCAAAATATCTAGCTCCCAAATACAGTGTCAGCTAAGTTTGCTACTTGATGTGGATTGATACTTTTTGGACAGTTTTTGAATACAGTGCGAATAAACAGTTTGGATCATCTTAATTCTTGTTAGCGTACCAATTTTCAATATCTTGTTGCACTCTTCAAACGTCTTGGAAAATATCAACTCACATGCCTGGCCGTTACTGTTGCCCTTAGTGATAGCCTGGTGTTTGAACTTAATTTCTTGGTCATACTTCATTGCTTTCAACACTGCAGTTCTGAAGAGGAGGAAAGATACACAACTCTTCCATAAGTTTCTACCCCTACTGAAGGCAGTGACAGTACTGTCACTGACTTTACTGACATAACACCAAGCTGTAATCTGTACATACATACACATAAAAAGATTTATATAGTTTTTGTGCTTCATTGTGATCTTTGTAGGACCAGGTCTAAACTTACCTATTTTAGAAAAAAAATATAAAGATCTCCTGTGCTAATTTTTTTGTGATGGCATGAAAAGTTCCCTTTTCTACTGGATTAACACTTCATACTGTTGCAGTCTCCTGAAGATCTATGAAGTAAGGCTTGTGTCATCAGTAGGATCCTGAACTATCTGGTAACATCAGCTGTTCCTAAGCATTTTTTGAACCTGCCCAGAATTAGTAAAATCTTGATTGTGCCAAGCCTCTCCCAGTCTTTGGAGTCTAAATAAAAGGACTTTCTTGCCGATCCTGGCATATCTTGCTTACAAGATGTAACAGCTATCAAAACATATTTAATGTCAGGTGAGGTTTTGGTGCTATCCAAATACTTTTTTCAGCTTCCCTACAATCCTCTGAGTAACTAAATGGAAAGCAGTTCTACTGAGAAAATATTAGCATGAAATGGTGCAATATTGATGGAAGTGCCCATCATATTGGTATTTTTTGCAAAACTTGTGATGTAGCAGAAAACAGTGTATTTCCACAGAAGTCCAGAAGAATGAGTCTGAGAGATTCATAACTATATTCAAAAGATAAGTGGTGAAAAATGCAATGTGAATTCCAGTACTAAATTTGATCCAAAGCTGCACCCAGCTCAAAAATATCCTCTTTTTTTTTTTTGTCACTAGTCAGTTCTGAATGATTTGAGAAGTGCAAGAACCTCTGTAATAGATAACTCTGGAAGATTTTCTACATAGGAAGTTTTGTTGTACTTCGTGCAGCTACCTGATGTTTTAAACTGATCCATATCTCTCATCAAAAAACAAACAAACAACAAAGCTCTTCTGCCTTTTTTCTTTTCCCCCTCTTCCTCTCTCTCCCTAGGTCCTGTTTCAAGTTCTCATGAAGTAAATTCACTCCCTGTGCCTACTGCCATATCCCCAATTCTAGTTTTAAGTTTGAGAGTGTAAAAAATACGTTATGGTTGGTGAACTATCATCTGAACGGGGTTGTCTGAAAACTTCTTATCTGCTGTAGTGGTTTCAGCAGGGAGAACTTGCTGTTTGAGCTGTTGGGGAAAGGAATCTCCTTTAGCATCTCCTGGATTGAGCTTGAGACTGTTGTCATGATCAAATGACCACCCTAGTGAGTCTGAGTTAGGTCTGTGGTGGCTCTTGCTTGAATGCTAAAGAATATTGGGTGTAGTGAACAGTTACAAAGAGCTTTCATGGTCGTCCCTTATGAATACTCACAACAATTCAGTGCTGGCTTCTTTGCTAGGCCTTGTCAGCATGAGTATGTGCGAACTGTTGAGCTGTCTAATCTCTGCAGTCGTGATGAAGCAACTGCAAATTGCAAAAAAAAAAAAAAAGAAAAAAGGAACAAAACAGAACCTTTTTAGAATCATGAAGAAAATAAATCAATCTGTTGTTTCCCACTGGAAGGGTGGCTATTAAATTGCTCCATGACATGATCTGGGCATAGTCTAGTTCAGAAATCATTTCTTCATGTCTGGTGTACTATTGAAATCTATCTTGAATGAATACATTTTAAAACTCAATTTTGTCTTTATTTTGTTGGAAGTCCCAGTACTGTACCTACCCTGCCATTTAAATACTATAGCATTCTTAGCACTGGGAGGTCGGAAGCCAAATCCCAGATGAAGATGTAGGTCTTCAAAACTACTTGCCTTAAGTCTACTGAGTTCAGTACTCATCTCAATAATAAACTGTCTGGAAGACCTCATGTAAATCACTAAATCTCCTTGTGCCTTAGTTCCCCATCTGTAAAATGGGAATAATATCTTCTACCTTATAGCATGGCTAGCAGATGAAATCCATGAATGTTTGTAAAGGTCTGAGCTATTACAGTCAAGTGGGCCACAGCAACACCGAGGGAGCTCATACCATTATTGGTATATGGAATTTGCCTTGGAATGGATTCTTGTCCTACAGCTTCATCATTGCCAAGAAGTGTGGGATCAAAAGCAAAGCATGCACATGAGCAGTGGAGTCAATGGAATTCAGTGATGCTATCAGTAAATTATTCCATCTGTAACTGCAACCACAAAGTATTGTTTTTAAAGCTGAGAAACTTTAATGGCATATAGATGGCTTTAATAGAATTTAAATGGCAATATTGTCATATCAAGTTCATTCAAGAGTTACAGCAGTATTTGAAATGGGTCAGTCTGTGTACTGGTTCTGAGAACTTCAGACAGGTATACATGGCTTTATCATCCATATACCCAAAGGAATAGCTGCAATGGGATTTGCCTCCTCTCCCTGCTCCTTTACAATAGTTTTAAACTTTTACTTATTTTTTAATTATGATATGCTTGTTGCTTTTCAAATTATTGATAAATGCATCTCTTGAAAAATTAAAAGATTTTCAGAGAAAATTAAGACTGATATACAGTAACTCAATTAGTACCCAAGATTCAGTATTTGCTAACTACACTGCCCATCTGATTGTTACTGTTAGCAGCCTGAGTTATTTGATGGTCAGGCTAAGCCAGTTAGTTTGAAAGTCAAACAGGAAAATAAAGGTGATAGCCCTTTCTAAGTTGTACACTCCACCTGCTAGAGAGGTTAATGAGGTGCAAAATTTTCTTAGAAATTATATGCACTCTAGGTAAAAGTCAGTAAATGAATTCCTTTCTGAATGTTTTTCCTTTGCAGGTCTAGGATAGCTAGATGGCCTCCTTTTTTAAAACATAAAATAAATAAACACTGACAGTCTGAAGCAAACTTGAAGAAAACCCAATAGTATGCCAAATCAGTACTTTTCCATTCTCTAATTCAACTCTACCAACCTCCATTCATCCCAGCTACATGAACGCAGCTGTTCTGGTGCAAGACAGACACAGATGTGCACTAAAAGTCAATTTAGCATGCTAGGATAAGGCTCTTGCTTTTCAACAGTAAGCGCAGAAATGGCTGCGTACCGTCAGTTGCCATCTTCCGTGACTGCCCTGATGTCGTGGTTAATCGGAACCCAGCTGGCAGCGTTTCCGAGGAGCCTGGCATCATGCTGATCCCGTGAACCTCTCGCGGAGGGAACTGTCGTCGCCAGGAGGGGCCACGTCTGAAGTTCTTGTCATCGCTCTGTCAACACAGAGTCGTAAACAATGAAGCAAAAAGAAATTTTTGGATTAATTATCCCGCTGTCCTCTGCCTCTCCCACTGCCAAATGTGTTCCACAACAACTACCCTGCTCTGTTGCACTGCATCCAGTAACTGTTTGAGATGCTCTTTTACACGTAAATGCTTTAGAAACATTAAATGCTAGAGTGGAAAACCCTTCTTAAATCTCTGGCTCAGTACAGTAGAAGGGTTTAGTATCACCTAAGTAGAACTTTCTTAAAGTCAGATCTCTTCCAGATACTGTGACAGAATGTGCAGTGGCTTACTGCATTAGGAGGTTTACATAAAGTGCTAATAAGAATTAAACAGTCATGTGCATGCACAGAATTCATCAGCATCTCACATTTTCACCACATCCTTAAAAGTTTTATTCATCCTCATGTGCCAGTGTCCAAGACTTGAACATATTTGCACTGGACTCTTTGAGTATTTTCCGTAAGTGGATTTGCTATTCCCCATCCTAGATAAATACCCCAAATCCCATTGTGTTACATACTGATTAACTTTTAAGAACAGCACCGCCCCCCAAAAAAACAACCAATAAAAATTCACTGTTTTTCTTTATTTTTAAAGAAAGGGTGTAAGTGTCCTAAAGGGTAGGTTGCACAGGCACCTCCCCCCCCACCCCAAACCTTTTCTGAGCAGTGAAACTTCCACTCCTTTCTGCATGTCTCCTCTGTGGAAATGTTAATCTTAATGTAAGAGCACAGTGCCAAATTCAGCGTATAAAATGATATCAGTATGTAGCCATACTGAGGTTACTTTAAAAACCTTGAATGATATTTCCTATTTTTTATTTAAAGCTGCAACTGACTCCTTTTAACAATGTGCGAATTAACATGTCTTCATGCATTCAACTTTTGTATTTTATTGTGATATTGTATGAATACTGAAAATAAAATGAATTACTTCCTCAAGTCGTCTTTCAGTTCCTAGTGCTAAAAGGTTGTTGTATTCTCTCTCAAGGATCTGCCGTGCCTAGAGATACCAAAGTAGAAAATTAAAATGGTTGGAGATGAATAAGAGGCAATAACGGGTACAGATTAAACAGAAGTAGCATGAGCAGACTTGCCTGGGTGTTTTGTGTTGGAATCTGTAATAATAAAGCTAAACTGCTGTAATCAAAGTTTTCATCCAGTGCTATAAGTGAACCATGTACACCACTTTCTAGAATATTATTTGCGTATTCTCGGAGACCAATAGCTTGTATCCAGCGTATGACTCGATCATTGCTCCACACCAGCACATCTGTAAGGACATAACGACAGTTCAGTCTCCTCATACCTGGTAACTTCCGAGCTGTACAGGTGCATGCAGGTAGCTGCTCATGCACTGTGGATGTCATACAGCTTTATTTATTAAACGAGGAATGCCAGCAAACTATTCATATAGCTTCAGAATCTCCTATTCAAAACTCTGTATGATTTCATCTGCCTTTGAGTTAAATGTTTATTCTAATGTTTCCAAAGGAGAAAGGTGCCTCTGGAAGGCATCTCCAGAATGCAATTCCTCCCACCTCCTATCGTTATCCTTTTCAATTCTTCGGCAAGATTTTACAGTTTAACAGTGCAAGGGCACAGGAGAAATATCTGTTCTTCAGGGCTTCACTTGAGAGTTCTGTATTAAACATTTTGACAGTCAGGTCAGCACCTACCCTTTTATAACAGGCCATAAAGCAAATCATGACTTCACAACTTTGGAGACTAAAACTATTTTTAGTTCAGAAAGCTGGTTGAGCTGTTACAGTCCATGCCAATTATATATAAGGCAACAAAGCGAGCTAGGAAAACATATTTGAGGATTTGGCTATTATATAAAAAGAAACTTGCCCTACCATAAGATTAAAGGGAAGTTACTTACACTGATCTTTATAGCTGCAAGCGGGAAATGTAATACTGAGTTTTCTGTTACTAAGTGATGAGGCTTTTTCCTGATCCCATATTAGTCCAGCTAATGTAGCTGTCCTGGGAGCAGGCACCCTCCATCGCCTGACCAAGAGCAGCCCAGGCTTAGGGGCCAGGATCAGCTGAAGCACAGCCTGGCAGCCAGGGATCACTGAGACCAAATCCCACCTGGGATTGTGCCTAACTGATGGGTGAAGGCAGCTATGGGTTATTACTCTTGTCCCAGTGGGGCCCAGCATTGAAGCAACATCAGAATTTCGGACCAATACCCAATTCCCCTGTGTCAGGCTCTGGCTACACCCACTCAGGCTGATGCTGATGCCTCCACATGCAAACCAAAATCTTTCCATTAGTGCATGCCATCATCAGCCCTGAGCAAACACATGCTTTCATTGTAGCCATTCCCTTATCTTTTAGTTCTTCCAATTGGCATTTTGCTGGAGAAGTTAACTTCTATATCTGCTAGAGCTAGAAATGCTTAAAGGAATCTTAAGATTCAGTTCTGGTAATGGAAAAAACCCTTGACAACCCTGACTGTTACATACAAAAGGAGTGATGCAATGAGCCTGCAACTGCTCTAGAGAGCTTTACACAGAAAAAATGCTTTAAGATCAGCTGTTAAATCTTCTAATAAGGCAAGTCCTGTTAGGAACATTTTTACACACCAACCAGCTGCCTCAGTGGCCACCCTTCGAAGCAATGATTTCTTTGATATACATTTTGAAATAAGAAATCAAAAGCAAAAAGTTTTCAACTGCAGGAGCCCAGTGTCAGGATCCTGAATGCTCCCATTTCCAGTGTTGCCCCCAGTGCATCGCACTGAGCTGCAGGCTATCTGGCCTTCTGCTTCTGAGGCTGAAAGAGGCTATGATAGTATCTGTCCCCAAAATCCAATTTAGCAAAATGCATGTATCAAACTGCCATTCGGAACTGCAGCCTCAGTTTAGCAAAGTACTTAACTGTGCCTAATTTAAGGACATATCTCCTGTTCTGAAGACAAACGGACTTATATTAGTTTTACTTAAAGCATATGCTTAAATGCTTTGCTAAAACGGCATGACAAGGGGCTAACAGTGTCAAGCTTCAAAGGAAGAAACATTCCCAGTATTCATTCCCAGAAACTATCACCTTTTATTTCATGCTGACTCATTTCTCTTCGCTTTTCCAGTTCTTTTCTATCATAATTCAACCTCTTTAAACACATGATTCCGTATTGCAAGCTTGTTCTGTTATTTAAAGAGAAACATTTACAGAGTTAATAAAGATAATTTTGAAGATGGGAACATATCTAGGATGTATTTCCTGCATTTCACATGAGGTGTTTCATGGTGCCCATGTAGCAAATCTTGAGGACAGAGGGGAGAGCAAAGCCATTAAAAAAAACTCCACAGACTTCAAAATTGAAATGAACAAAACCAAAATGAGCACGTTTGAATAAATATTCTAGAATAAGAAACCCAAAACATTAAATATCGTTTTCAGAAAAAATCTGCCCTTGCGAGCCGTGAAATATTTTGTCAAATCAGGCCTCAAAAAAAAAAAGATGAATCAGACAGCACATTAAAAAAAAATCCACTTCTTGTCACATAAACATCATTCTGCCTAAAGTCTAAATGCCTTTATTTCCATATTTCCAATTTAGCTTTCTGGTTATATCCTTAGATAACCCAAACAACTGTCAATTTTCTTGTACTGTTAACAGCTTTCATGTGCTTACATACAATAGCTTTTGTTTTTCATGATTAGGAGATCTCAAGGCTTCAAATCTTAGTCTATCACTTTCTAATACTTTAAGCCACTTAATAAATTATTACTGTTTCTGTATTGTCAAGGCTTTATTTATATATTAGTGCTTCCTCGCTTATGAAATTTATCTGTACCAATATCTTAGGTTTGAGAGACGTAATTGCACTGTGGTTGCCATTACCAAAGGAATCTCTCTCAGTGCAGCTTTCTGATACTCAGCACATACTTTTCTGTGTGGTTGTCCACACTAGAACAACAGCAAGTGTTTTTATTCTGTGCAGCACTGAGCGCGACATCAGACACATACACATCTTTATAGGTGCAGTCTTTATGCCAACATACCGATGAAAGCTATCCACCATTTTTAAGTGCACACGCAGATCTTTCTTTGTCAGGTGGTCTAACATCCTCGCATCTACCAGGCATTCCATAAAATAACTTCGGTACTGAGGTAAACCCAGACTGGGGAGCCATTCGTTACCTATCCACTCATGGTTCATATCCCCGTAGGCCAGGGTCTACACGGGTAAAAAAAAAAGAAAAGGAAAGAAGACGATAAATTCTTGAGTTTGTTCAAGTCTGCACCACAAAGTGAAGACAGAATCTCTGTCTGCTATGGTCATTCCTAGTGAGACTTCCTAGCTTAGAAATCGTGTCTAACAAAAATCATTCCATTTTCACATCATTTTAAAATTGGAGGTGGAAGCCACTGTACAGTATTTGTTACTGATGGCAGTTTTTCCTATTATCTTTTGGTTTATAGCTTTGTAAATTGTAAGCACTTTTTTTCCGTAATAAGAAATTGTAGTTTCAATTTTAAGTTTTAAATGCAAGCAAACATATTACACAATCAAAATATGGGTTTTTTTCAGAATCTTACTTGCTTTTGATTGACCTTCTAGAATATTTATGCTAGGCAAATCCTACACTGTGCTTGGTAAGAGAACTATTGCCCCAAGGAATCAATTGACATTTCTGTCACTGTTTAGTGGGGGCTGGGGTTTCCTAAATAGCACCCAATGACACTTCATGTATACACACCCATAGTCCTTTTGAGACTAAAAGTTAACTTCAGCTCTTTGCCAGCCAAGCTTATGTTCACCATCAGTCAGAGCAGGTGACCAAATAAATTCTATCAATAAGATATTTTTAGCTATGAGCACCTTAAACTGCATCACATGTAGAGCTCAATAAATTAACTCTTAGATAGGAGCAAACTAGATTCCTCCTAGAAGGTAGCATTCAGGCATTAAGCTACTTCATTGTTCAGCTGAAATTTTAATAAAGTGACAAATAAAGTATATGAAACACATGTGCATGTTGAGCTATTTCATATAGGTTGCCCAGTTAAGACTAAAAATAGATTTTACATCTCAATATTGCAGATTATTTTGTACTAGACCTTAGCAGAAAAGAGAACCCATAAATTGCAAGATTAACTCTTCATCAGTAGGATTATGCTCAGCTTTGAGCAACACTTTCAAGCCTAACTATCTTTTTTTGGTTTTGTTTTTAACGTCTCCTGTTATTATAGACAAAAGGATAACATGGTGCAAGTCAGATACATTTTTTATGCGGGAAAATATGGTCCCCTCATCTTTCATTCTTGCAAGATTTTGAAGAGAAAGGAATGCCACAAATAAAGACAGTAAGATTGTGTAACAGTGTGAACATACTAGAGAGAGAGAAAGAAGTTGAAAAATGTAAGTAACTGATAATCTAACTAAAGTGAGAAATTTTGTTCTTAATTATACAAGACTATTTTTAGACTGATACTTGAGTTTGATTTATACAATTATTTTAAATAAATCTGTTGTAATTTCAGAAACATATTTTATTAGTCTGTTCTCAAAAATAAGGAAAATGTTTTTTTCTAGATTTAGCAGGGAGATAGAAGACGTCTCTGGAATGTAGCTATTTCTTTTACAAAAAATATGTACAGCATATGTACTTCTTTGTGCTTTACCTAGGAAACCTGTCCAGAGAACTTTTTCTTTGTATTAGAAGAACTCTAAAATGAATAAATCATAATTCAATCATTGAGGTACAGTCACAATACTATACTACTCTATGCATATTGACATACTGCTCATTACTATTAGCTTTTCATTCAGAAAATTCATGCAAAAGGATCATACCTGAGCCCAGCTGCCTTCTTCAGACTCTTTCTGTGTTACAGCAGGAAGCAGTTAGTAAAGCAGGTAAGAAGAAAATAAGAAAGAGTTATGAAAATATGTGGGTTTTCTGTGTTTGCTATTCATAGTGCAAATGAAAGTATACATGCAACGTGTCAATAAAATAACTCCAGCCAATGGAAATGCCCTGGGCTAAACTACCTTAAAAATTACAAGACCAAAACCATAAAATCTTAGTAGGGCAAATCTAGCTAAGTTTTCAAGATATAAAATCATTATAGCTTGGTGAAACTTTACAGCATTATCTTAAACACTTTTTATAGTTTCATAATCAAAACCCAACCATTTACATAGAAAATCAGGCAGTAGAGGTGCCATTTTTTTGTTTCTAGTTAGATTTTGCAACATTCACAATAAAAAGCTGGTTTTTTTGTGAATGTATTGTAAAAGAGCTCTTTATGTAACATTTTTAATGGCAAAACTATTTCTCTTGCTAGCCAGGTTCATCTCTACTTCTGGTCATTTGAGTGTTGTTACATTTATATTTATCTTTACAATAATAAAATCACAAATGAGCTCAGTTGTAAAAAAAAAGAAATATTGATGAGAATCTGCTTCATGAATGTTCCTGAGAAAACTTAAAATAGTAGAGCAACCATAAATTTCCAGGACATAAGTCTTTATTGCACCAAAATTTAGCTTCAGTACCTCCCCACCACTTATGGATTGGGTTGACTAAAAAGTTTTCCAGACTGAAGAAAGGGGTTTTTGCAGACATCTCACTGTAGGATTGCATCATGTTGTATAAGCCCTGTTACGGAGTTTTTATGATGTAATGCTAAAAACAAAACACAAAATGATGTATGTTCCAAGTAAAAGAAAAGAAGTCAGAACTATTGAATAAACCTTACCCCAAAGCAAGGCGAGGTTTGACAAAAATCGATCAATAAATGACACACTATATGCACCTCAAATCAAAAAGCATGAAAACATAAGTATGGACATGAACAACTCAGCATTAATGAAAACGCTGAGTTGTGTAATGTACCATTCTCAAGCCTTTCCTTCTTTCTTTCTATTTCAGCAGATATAAAACTCTATTTAGAAGATGTACTAGGGAGTAGAGCACAGGGGAAATTGTGCACCTGTAACTGCGACAATTTCATTTCACTAAATGAGGTTTCATGCTCTCAGTGAGATGATTATGTACTGTAAAACTCCAATACTGGTTTTAAGTTTCCACAATTTTTGCGATCGCAATACAGTTTGTAATTTCTTTTCCTGAGAAATGATGTAACCGTTCTTTAAATTCAATTTCACTGCCCCCTGTGACTTTCTAGTGGCATGCTTGGGAAGCATCCTACAGAAGACAGAGCATCTGACCTAAAAGCAGAAACATCCAAGTTCTCTTTTGAGCACTGAAACCATTTTAAATGGAAGTGGAGAGACTAACCGTTTTGGCTGGAGCAGCGAGATTTTCCATTTCTTCATGGGTCACCCAAACATTGCCTGAGGGCTATGGGCAAGGCCCGCAGGAAGGCAGGTGGGATCCACATTAGGTAAGCAGTGGTAAAGAAGAAAGGCAGCACCACTGTAAGTTAACAGCGTATAGCATCACCATCAGCACAACCACGTCCTTGCCTCTACCGAGCTGCAACTAGAGACAACTTTAGAGAACTCGATCTGTGTCTTTCGTTAGAGGATTCAGAACAGACGCAATGGAGTATTTCAACTAGAACAGATGGATGAAATCTGGCAGAGCACCGTCATAAAGGAAAGAACAGTAATTAAAGCTGCATTTCACACACAAGCGGCAAACACAACCTTTAGCTCATAGCTCTGTCTGGAGGTAAGCTTCACTTTGCAAAGATTTTCCAGCCGAAATATTCTGCACACATCACATGCTCATATTGTAATCTAAATAATGATTACTTCCCCCACGTTTCTGTAAATCAAAAATGTCAAGAGAATTCACTTGTAAAACTCCTTTTTCCTCATCCTATTGTGTTTTTGTCAGATCATTACCAGGATAATGAGTTGAGGCAGGGAGGAGGTGTGGAAGTCTGCTTTGTTTTCTTCAGAGGTGAAGTAAATTAACTCCTCTGCTGAAAAAGAGGGGAGGCAGAAAGATCTGGGACTCAGGAATGCACATTCCAGGGCAGGGCAACTTTGTGCTGCAATTTACTCAAGGAGAATTAAAAAATAGAAGGCAAAATTATTCCCACTGTTTCTAGCTTGAATCTACTATTTTCGCATTTCATAAGTAAGTGTTGAGGCTTTTATGTTTTGAAATGTGCTTTTATGCTTTAAACACTAAAATGAATTTTGTTTAGTAATTTAGTAATTTCACGTAGGTGAAATCTACTACGATTCACAGTATCACCACGGTTAAGACATACACAATTGTTCTGAGAGGAGAAAATATCAGATGTGAAAACTATAGTATTTAAAGACACTTATCAACATGAAGAAAAAAGGCCAGGCTATAGGAACATTAGCGTCCTGTTGCATGGTTGCTTATGTAGCTCAGTGGATCTGTTACCCCTCAAAGGTATCCCAATTCTAATATCCACAAAGAGATTCTCCAAGAATTCCATGAAGATAAGAGATTACAAAATATAAATAATACTACTATTATAAACATAATGATTATTACTATTATCTTACCACTAGAATTCTGGGCTGCACTATGTGAGTAGTAGTCTTTGTCCTTCACTTCTATGCCATGTTTCTCATCTGACCAAGTCTCATTTTTTTTCTTGTTTGGTTTTGTTTCGGTTTTGTTAGTCTCTGTTGCATCTTTCATAGGCATTATCAGCTCTCAGCATGAAACTCACCTTTTGTTATCATTTTTCTCCTCATCTGTTTGGCCTGTTTTTCTTCATTTTCCACTAAAAGGTGCTTTCTTGTTCTACAGCACACACATTCATTCTTACTCTCCTCTAATCTTCTTTTATGCTCTTTTTTATGTCCCCCTTTCCCTTCAGGCTTGTATCTCTGTGTTTCTTTTTTTCTACTTGCTTCCTTCGCATCTGCTGCTACTCTCTCTCCCTTCCTCATCAAATGCACATGCTCCACTTCTCCCTCCCAGACCCTCCCTTCACACCTCCAATCACCGCTTCTCTTAAAAACATGAAGAACGTGAAGCCTGCTGACTTAGATTAGATAACATTTGAAAAGATGCAAAAAAAGGGAAATGGGAACAAGATTGAAAAGAGCTGTGTTCCTGCATAACCTCTCTCCCCTTGCCGCCTGCCCCCCTCCAAAAAAAAAGAAGTAAAACAAACAAAAAACCAGAAACGCAATCCGATTAGATTGGAAGAGATGACTTGAGGAAAGAGAAAGGTAAAAACACAGGCAAAATTACAAGTAAGATGCTCAATACTGATCATTTAGATAACATCAACATTAATCAAAAGCACAACTTAAAAAAATTAAGAGTATCTACTAAAGGAAAAAATATCAGCGATCAAGCGAGTGATGAACAGGTCCTCCTAAGTCTCCACAGGAGAATTCCCACCGGTTGTGAAGGGGCTGTTGCCACAGAAGCCACTCTCCTATTACCAAAGTCTTTCTGCAGGCTCCTACAGGGTGAAGCGGGGAAGAAAAAGTTAGCTGAACAGGACTCACAGTTCTGGATGTTGGAGGTGCTGATGGACTTGTCAGGGACACCATCTCCTGGATTGCTAATCGGAGCTTTAAGCGATGGAGAGGATTGCTGATGCCAATCTCTCTTTGAATCTCAGTATCAGACAAAGCAGACATAATAGCTCCGCTCTTCACGTTGGCACGGCAGGCAGCAACGTACCAGGCTGGCATTCCTAGCCAAAGCTGTTGAGAGAACATTCATCCAAAGCCTTGCTTATTTCTCAAATGAAATTAATCGTCAAAGCGCCTATCAGTTTGAATAAGAATGCAAGTACACACAAGTGAGCATGAATATCAATATTCAATAAAACGAATGTGTTTCGGAACCTTTGAAATTGCCATGGCTTCATGTGAACTCTTTTTGTTGCTTTTACTGTACCCAGTACTTTAAAGCAAGGCATGCTTTAAATTATTTTTAGAGATGTGTGCGTCCATCACCTGGGCTGCTCCTTTCCCAAGCCTTTAATGAGCAAGGAGTGCCATAAGTCAGTGTTACTGCCCATTTGATAGTCTTATCATATACAATCTAAGAGGAATTGATTATTTTTTCAGTTCCGTACTTAAAGTGGCTTTCTCTCTTTTTCTGTGTTAGTCCCCATGGTGTACTCATGAAGCACAATCTTACATTTCTTAGCTTTTATTTTCTTGGTAAAAAAAAAAAAAAAAAGGTTGCTTCAGATAGCCAGCCTAATGAGGACTGAGTTTACTGTAAATTTGAGAACAGCCTGGTATGTGTCACGTCCCAGCTAGGAAGACTGGTTAGAAATTGCAGCAAAATGTGAGCACAGCTACATCATCTGTGGATTTAGACAATATGAACTTGCAACTTCATGCTCTTCCTCTCCTTATGTTAAGTCTTACCAGTGTAGGGCAGCAATAGCCCTTTGCTTCACTACTTAGTCTTTCCTTGTGAGAGGTACTCTCCACTCCCAGTCTTTCCTGGGACCTACCAAGTATGACTTCTTCCTGCCTTTCTCAACTTTCTCATTTTGTACTGTCTCATTAATATGACTGTCAGCATCTACAGATCTTTGCTCTCAAAAGAGATAATTCCATAGCAGGGATACACATATTTCGGGTGTTTTTGTGACAGTATGAAATACATTATGCTACAGCAAAACTCTGAGAATGACATAAGCAGTGGATGCCATAATCACTGAGATTTTGGGAATAAGACACGGGAAAACAAAGACAGACCTAGCTAAGTGCATCTCGAATAGGATATCAAAGAATTGCTGATTTCATTTTTTTTTTCTCTTAATAATGGCTTACTAAAAGAAGATACAAGGTCAAGGAAATGAGTCAAAATATGCCATCAATAAATTCACCCACAAATATGGAAAGGAGAGACAAACTGAAAGGTTTTTTATTTAATTTCTCACAGTACAGAGAAGTGCTGTGTGGTTATTTACATGTCCATCTTATCTGGGAAATATTTCCTTAAAAGATAGCTGTTAGATCATTTTTATATCACAGAGAAAACAGACTTGAATGTCAGATTCCAAAAGGGCTGTTAGGCTTTTCTTTACTGACTCATGGGGTATCACTGAGCTTCAGGAACAGCTGCATCATCATGTGGGACAAGAGGAAATAGGCTCAAGTTGCACCAGAGGAGGTGTTAGATTGGATATTAGGAAAAATTTCTTCACCAAGAGGGTTGTCAAGCACTGGAACATGCTGCTCAGGGAAGTGGTTGGGTCAACATCCCTGGAGGTATTTAAAAGACGTGTAGATGGGGTGCTGAGGGACGTGGTTTAGTGGTGGACTTGGCATTGCTAGGGTAATGGTTGGACTTGATCATCTTAAAGGTCTTTTCCAACCTTCCAATTGATTCTATGATTCTGTGTTTAAAAAACACCTTCCCACTGATGTGAAGAACCACTGCTCTCCAACCAATGCTTGTTTGAACTTTAAAAATATCTAATTCCAACTAACTGTAACAAAATATAAATTTTCATGAAAGTAAAAAAAAAATACAAAACTATGTAGATTACACCCAGCTGCACTTAAACAAAGGGTCATGAGGAAATTATGCACAGCTATAAAATATGCTTAATATTCTCATTTAATTTGACATGATTTTTTTCATACATGCACTTGAAAAGCAGGAAAGCGTAAACACTGGAAGCTATTCACCCTGCAGAAATATATTCAGTTGTTTGCCGCTCATTAGGTAAATTAGTTCTTTAACAAATTTGGTAAATTAGTTCTAAAAACAGCTGTCCCTACCAGAAAATGCAGCTAGAGGAAAAGAGTCTCTAAGAAGAGGGCACAGTAATAGTTCTAGGCAGAGAACCCAGGTATCAAGTTTGATATACTTTTCCAGAATTAGTTAAGAAAATGTTCTTAAAAAATATCTCAGATACGTCTGTGCTACATACAGATGACCACAATAAATGCTAAGGCTGAAAAGTTAAGCCTCAAAAAGTTTGGATATGTCACATACACTTCTTTAATTTGGGTCTTTGTCTCTTTTAATTAATTTTGGGTTTTCGCCAAAGGGTCCCACATTATACTTTCCGCAGGAGAGTATGAAATGCACAGTGTCCATCTGCTGACTGAATGCACGGATGCTCACCAAATTAATACAGTACTTCTGCTCTCGTATCTTTTTATCATCAGTATTCAATCTGCACTGAATCCTGCAACATAAACTTCCTCGTGGGCTTTCCTGTGCTACTCTCATCGTATTTCCCAAGAAGTTCATAGACAGCAATTTCTCTTTACAGCCTCCCTCTGACACAGTGGGAAGCGTATCCTATTTTGCAAAGAATCGAGGGGAAAAACCAAGTAGGGCTTAACTTGTCAGAAATAGCTTCAAATTTTGGATCACTCTGGAGGGCACCAAGGGCAGATTTTTCTCAGTATTCAGAAATATATAAGTGTTCGTATGTTCACATTTCCAGCTTTGTCTGTAATACTGAATATTTCCAACCGACAAAAACCTCATTACAAAACTCTCAAAGTCATATGAAAAAGTCAAGTACTGACCAAATTAATGAATGTTCCATATTATCAGAAGTAGTTTTTGGGAAGGAAGATACCATCCCATTTCCAAGGTCATGCACAAATGCTTGATCTGCCTTTCTACAGTTTTCATTTCATCCTTTTCATTAGGTAACTTCAGCAATTCTAACATGAAGCAGAAATTTTGTAGACATTTGCTGTTCTCATTCCTCATCCTTCATTTATTCCCTCAATATATTCATGTCAAAGCTTTCCAGAGGCACCTTTTTTTTTTTTTTTAATTGAAGGGGAAAAGCTCTACCAATTCTGTCTGATGATCAATGAATGATACCTATGGCAGATATGAGAAGAGGTGGAAATACATAGATTTTTTTGGTGTAGACAAGGAATAAACACCTGTTCCTTGAGCCATCAAAAAGCTCGTATCTCTACTGAAGTGATACAGCCTCACCATGCAAAAATGACTGCATATTTCTACAAGAATATCCTTACTTTCTGTTTTCTCCTCCCCTCAGCATCTGGGTATTTTTGAATATTTTCTTCACCTATAACATTAGATGATTTTTGTCAAAATTGATTGACATCTCTGCTGAATGTTTCTCTAGATGTGTTCCAAAATACATTCATTTAGGCTCTCCAAATAAAGGAGAGCTCTCTGCAGATCAGATTTCAGAGATGAAGGCACTGCCTGTCAAATCAGAGTGATTTCAACCTGTATCTCCCACATGCCATGTGAAAGTGCTGAGAGGAAAACCTTCCTGTTCTGAGTGATGTTTAGGTAAATCAGCCCTCTCCTATTATATTTTTAAAAGACAGAAAGTTGCAAATTCTTTAAATTGATTAAAAATTCTGAAGATGTAGCTCCTGTGTTAATCGTAAATAAAATTTGATAGCTAATTTTTGTTTTCTCCTTAGGATGTCGTCCTACATAAATTCTGTCTGTGGAGTTCCTAGATATTTAGAGAATGAGAAATTATAAAATTTCAAAAATTTGGGATTCAAGTGCATTTGATAAGCACCGTTTTCTGTCCTCAACCCCCCGTCTAAACCTGGCTTACTTTTTTCAGCTCAAGTTTCTGGTTTGTGCCGTCCAGTGTCAAAATCTGCTCAGTGTTCATGGCAAAGTGCATAAGAGAGAGAAGGAGACTTTAACAGTCTCCTTTAGATTTTGCAAGGACAAAGCAGTGTAAAAATGTGACTCATTTCCAAGTTATGGCCAACACCTACCTCCAGCCAGGCAACCACTGTTGGCCCATCCCACTGTGCAAAAGGCAAACCCTTTCTCCGGGCTTCTTCCAGAAGTTCATGTCTAAAAATGGATCAAAAAATGTTAAATATACAGAGGTGTGTAGACACAATATAGATGCAACCGTGTCTTTCTGTTAAGGGTAATAACAGTGAAGCACAACGACAGGCATAGAAAACACCACTGAACAGTACAGCTCCTTTCCATTTTTGAATGTATTCCCAATTTTTTGTGTGTGTGTGTGCCTTTTGATATCCATTTAAACACCTAACATACAAAAGGTGAGGCTTCTGTCTGCTCTTAGCTGAAACAATACAGAATTCGGATACCTTATGTAAAAGGATGACCTATATAATAGACATTGGTGAAGAGAAAAAACTGACAGATTCCTCCTGAGCTTAGCTCTGGTCTGGTAATGACCAAGAAAGGCCCCAAATTATCAACTTTTAGACCTGAGCTAAGCATGGATGTAACGTAGCCAAGTCTGAGAGGTCTCTGAAACTCTAAACCTACTGGACCAGCTACATACAATTCCAGAGCCTCTGGAGTACAGCTGTTCTGCATCTTAAGTAAGCCATCTGTGGCTAATTAAGAATTGGTTGGATCTGTAACAGCTCCATGTTAATTTTTTAAAACTTACTGCTTATGTACAAAAGCAATTCACATGATTTACTGATGTATATATTTTTTATAATTACAGAATTGACGTGGTTTCTCAAATTTATACATATTCATACATACATAGATATACTTCTATTGATCAGATACCAATCCAATGCCCCCATCTGCAGCTTCTCCGGGCTGCAATGAGTATGTAAAACATCATTCTCAAAGCTTAAAATACACTTTTAATACAGCAGTATTAAATATTTAGTAAAGTTATGTATAAGCCAGTTGGCTAGACTATCAGGAAAATGTTCCATATTAAACACACTCAGCCATTTGACCAGACATTTTTAATTCCTGGAGCAGGAATAAAGAACTCGCTGTGGTAGTGGCATAGAAAAAGGAGTCCTACAAAAGTCTTTTTTTTCTGGTATTTAACAATATATTTTCAGCTGCCTCCTACTGACTGAAACACAAAAGAATTCTCTCAGCAACAAGCTGTAGTGAAAAACAAATTAGACAGGGACTATGCTAATGTAGTACTAAAATTTGCTTACATTCACACATAACAAGGAAATCTTGGAATTATAGGTTCAGTTTTGCTTTGCCTTCCTTTATTACTGCAGTCTTCATGGTTCAGTTATCCCTTGGCAATTCTTCATTTCCTCAGTAGCCTTTTAAATACACATACTACAAAATCACAGCAGATAAAATTGATGGACTGATCTTACTTGTAAGGAGTACGCCTTTCAGGATTTTTGCAGTGCCCAGAAGCCAGACTGAGAGAATTTTGGCTTTACTAGAAAATGAAACTCAAACATGCAATTTTGCATATGTGTTTAAATCCCTGGTTCTGAATATTAATTAGCAGGTGCTTTACTTTCTATGTTTATGCTGTAGTAATATGTAACATGACAAATACTTGGCAGCGTTGCAGAAGTTTGTCTAGCTTCTCCACTCCAACATTTTTTGCAGCACACCTTATCCTTTGTCACCCTGATCCCCAAAGACATTTTTGAGCTATCCTTGTGTTTCATGAAAGCATAATCCTCAGTAAAATGAGAAGAAGTTGCTCGTTGGGTACCCAAACACCATGTTACTTTCAGTAGCTGCTGGAGATGCAGGAATACCATGTTCCTGGGGAGACAAGGAGTGAAGGCCAACAGAGATGTACACACTTGGCTGCTTAGAAAAGCAGAATTCAGGCACGGCCAGACTTAGCCACCTCCCAGCTGTGTGTGGATGAGGTATCTGGGTTGCAGCCTTTCTTGGCTCAGAATTGGTTCTGCAGGATGCCTGCAAAGACCCAACAGTGCTACACCTCCCTCAGGTCCCAGAACAGGGCTGCCACCAGTGCTGCAAGCTGGCGTGGCTGTTTGTAGGGAGATGGACAACCTTTCAGGGATGCCCCTTCCTCACTTAACCCAGTTTTGGTGTCCCATGGCAGAGCAGGGACCCTGCAAAGCCCTGTGTGACTTGCTCCTTCCCCAAAGACAGCCCAAGCCCCTTCTGCATCTGGGAGTCCCATGGAGGCACCACCTGTGGAGGAACCTGTTCCCAGATTTTTCCCGATCTGGGGTATTCTCAATCCATACTGTCTGAAAGAGCTATGACAGTAAGTAAAAAAGGAAAGTATGGGGGCCACTGGCCTTCCTTGCTCATGTCAGTCTCCTGCCTGAAGCAGAAGAGCAGTGGCCTGTGGTCTACAAGGAGCTGGGCTTTTGCCTATTTCTTTGATTTTGTGCTGGGTGGCCTAAGGAACCGAGGTGCCTGCAGCAGAGGCATTTGCACTTCAAGTTCTCACTTACGGGAAGAACTTAGCTCCTTTATGCTGGAATTACGAAGTACATATTTCTAGGGTGTCCTCTGTGACTTTGCAACATTTGAACTGGCCTGAGGCTTGGTGTGGAGGCTTAGCATTAGTCCACCGTTTCTCAAACAAACACACTCCCCCAGAGTAGGAAAGCACTGTTACATCAGAGGCACTCTTGCTCATAGAGTTGTGGTTGTTGATTTTGGCTGAAGAAAATGGGGCAAGACCAAAAACGGGATATCCTATATATCTGCTACAGCCAAAAACTACAGTACGATAAACATAATCCAAAGGGCCTTGGCATGCAGAAGGAAAGTGTTTTGGCTTGAGAATATTTTTAAAGTTAAAATAGTCTACTTGGACATGCACAGAGGATACAGACATCATAATGCCTGTGCCTCACTTACTGATGTGGAATACCAAAAGGATTTTTATAATATTTCTTTCCTTAAAATGAATTCTATGCTTCAGAACTTATACCTCCTTCCCTCAGATGTTTCGTTTAAACATCCCTCCAATATTAAGGTTTCTTTAAATTATATTTTACTTTTTGAACAGTATTCTTGGACTACTTTTTAATGTACACTAGGAGATCTGCAGAAAATGAACCTTCAATTTCTGAACAAGAACTACATCCAGAATTTTGATTTTTTAACTGTTATATTCTTTAGTCAGTAGACAAAACCTCTGAGGTTTTTTTTTGTATGAACTAGCACTATAGAAAAAATTCCACTCTTTCAAAATAATTTAAAAGTGTCATGTAGGAAAAAATATGTACGATTTTGATCAATAGTGCAAATCATTAGAAAAATTAATCCAGTGATCTGACTATTCTGGAATACAATCAGAATATTTTTGAACAGCCTGAAATTACTGTTGTCCTTGTGGGTTAGTCCCTAGCATACTGAAAACCAATGGTCCCCAAAGCCAAATATTCGTGACTGCAGTTCAATTTTCCTTACAAAAACATACAGCCGATGCCAGGAGGAAGAAGACACGAATACCCTAAAGCTCATCACTCTGTCTTCCTTTCATTACAAAGATAGGGTTTGGAGAATAGCATTATACAGTTTCTGTAATTTGGAAGACTTTTGCAGGGTATCATGGGCATTTTCTTCTCCTAAGACTTTGTAGGAAAAGTACTACATGTGTCCACTTTGCATTGGTAAGGAGGTAGGGAATTAAAATGTAATTATTTCCATGCTCACATAGTTTTTTGGCAACATATAACAACAAGCTGATAAGGAAGAATTGACATTAATTAGGCATTGCTATAAATGCTATTATTTTGCAGATAAGGCTTTAAACCACTTACTACCACTGGAATGAATTCCAAATTAGAGCTTTATTTTTAAAGATAACATTATTACTGTTTAAGAATAAAATCTTCTTTCTGGATCTATCATGAGAGGAACTGTAATATGCTATTTAAAATTTACCATTACGCTGAGTCTGGTTTTGCAAAGTCAGTAGATTTAATGAATAGCAATCGTTAAGCATTCATCCAAAATTTGAGAGATGCTTGTATTCGTCTATTTCAGAGAGAGTACCTGAAAGTGGATTGTCTTCACTCTTTTTTTTCAAAGACAGAGAAGAAAAAAACCATGTCATTTCAAGTCAGGCTGTGGAGTTGTGTGTCAGAGAAGCAGAGTTGTCTCTCCAGCACTAACTTCTATTATTTAATCCTCCCAAAAATGAACTCCTAAGGATAATGTTACATTGGGCCATTTACTTTACCTGAGAGCACAACTGACTTGAACCAGAGGGAATATGACAGCTTCAGTTACCCTCTGGACAGCAGAGGTACATGGGAGTAAAATTAAGGGTGAAAAGATAAAATAAAATAAAAAACTATTTTATTATCCTGCAAATTTTCTATTTCATATATATATCTTGCCCTTGCACAGGGAAAATTCTAGCTCCCTATCATAAGCCTTCACCAACTCATTAAATAAAATTCAATTAACTTTATTAAAAATCAGAATTATCTTTAAATAGACTTTGTGTGGGAAGTTAACAAGATGTTGATTTAAAGCGTGCCATTCAGCGACATTCAATTTTCTTTATGAAGATGAGGCTCCCCCTCATGAGGCAAACAAGAAATAACAGTTTAAGATTTCTGATACACATAACCCAACTGCATAGAACATAAAGTAAAGATACTGTCTTGATGAAACTTGAACAATGTTTCAACACAGATCGTCATATTTCTGCAAATAGTAGCGTTTACTCTGATACATCTAGTAGGGTTCACATGAAAAGACCTCAGGGATACTATATGGTTCATATTATAATGTCTCTCAGTTCAAATGTAATCGCAAATGTGAGATACATTGAAAAGGAGGCACAGTGAAGTCAAGAGCCAGATCATGTTAGCAAAATACAAGCAGAATTAATTTTAAAAATTTGGCTAAGGGGCACTTTAGATCCTATGAAATAGCCTTTACCTATAGACATTTTCTCAAAAAGATAACAGATTAAAGTGTTTTAACTTCACAGATCCTCCAATGATTATTATTATTACTTACATTATCACGACTGTTAACATGATTACTAAAATATTTAGTTTACAACAAAACATAACCCATGATTGGTTTCTAGAAGAGAAATAGACAGAAAGTATAGACCATATATGCTATATTCATCTGAGTAATCGTATGATTTGAAATTAAGGTTAACCACATCTGCCTCTCGAATGTTAGCATACTCACATTCAAAGACTCCCAAATTCATGAGAGAGGATTTATAATGAGTTAAGCTGGATTTGGGCTTTATCCTTTCTATTGTCATCTGCTATATATTTGAGTGGCTAGAATTCTGCAGCAAAGGTCATTGTATGACAAAATAAAGTAGTTGAATTTGTATAAATTAATGGTTACATTTTATCTATGTATTTTCTGCACTACTATAAATATCTTTAACTAGGAAGTATGAAAAAAAAGGAAGAGAGACTCAGACTTGATATTGATATATAATGCTGATTTAATTTAATCTGAAATAATCCATCTGACTTAAAGATTGTAGTAATTAAAAAAAGGGGTCAGACTCTGTTTCATCTTTTGCACTTAAGTGATATGGCTTTTAAACTGCCTGAAATAGTCTTGAGAACACTGTGCAAAACTCAGTTTCCTTTGTACGCAACTTTAAGAAGTTTGTGGGAAAAATGTCTGAAATACAGAAGTCAAGATGCAAATAATAAAGTTTTTAAATCTATAAAGCAAGGAAGTATACCTTTAAATTCAACAGCATCCCAGATAACGCAGATCAGCAAAGCTGACTTAACAATGCTGTAATTATTCTCTATAGCTGTACTTTTAAAGTAAATGCAAACTGAAGGGCAGTGTTCTTTTTTCTGAAGACGTATCTTAAGCTAAGTGAAACTAGTTCAGGAATGCTTAATACAGACCCTAACAAATTAGTGTTGCTGAAAGTCACTATTAAAAACTAACAAAACTCCTGTGAAATGATCAGCCTTGCATAATATATGGCCTTGCAATTTTGTATATACTGTACTACATTAGAGACCCTTGGAGTTCCCAGATTGATTAAATATTACCAAATCTATTTTTATAAAGCCATTTCATAATCATATATTCTGAATTAATGTTGTAAACCCTGTTCTCTTCATGGTTTTTTTTTTTTTACTTTTACACCTTTAGATAGTCATAGCTCATACATGCTTTGAATTGACGGAAGTTATTCTCCCTAAGTTTCAAAAATTATTAAAGAGGAAAACAACACTTGTATGATAAATCAAAGAGGAGATGAAGATTTTAAATTTGATATCAGGTTAACAAAAATAAACAAACCATTAAAAAAAGAACTGATAAAAAATAGTAAAATTATATGCATAAATGAAATATTATTGTACTAATATAGAATATGAGGGCTCAAAGAGAAACAAGAAATTGTATACTCTGGATTACTAGAATATTTACAAATTTGAGTGCTCTGTGATTTAGCTGAACAGGATTTGTGCCTTAATAACATCTAGGCCTTCACTCTCATGACATTTTCACTGACTTAAAGTTTCAAATGTATTTGTGATTCTGGGCTTTAGACCTCCCAAAATGTGTTTATTTAAAAAAAAAAATAAATGACATCAGTCATCTCCATTACGTTAAGCCTTGTAGGAGCAAGTCCTGATCTTAATATTTGTATGCTTTTGAGGTTTATGATTATTCTGAATAATTTGAAAGTTTTCATTTGGGTCAGTTTTCAGCATGGATTTATTACACGAGGTTCAGAGGAAAACAAAAAGAAATAAGAATAAAACATGGTGCTGAATATGAATATGTTCAGCAGCCATGGTGTTTTAACTTACCCAGATATGCTTTTCATGAGATGGAGAGAGATGAATGGAAAAAAAAAAAAAGCACATAAATGTTAATGAACATATAGTAGTCCATAAAAAATAAATAAATCATATGATAGATAAAATAATAGCACCATTATAACTACCAAAATCTTTCTAACTGGTCTTTGTTTTAAAGATGTTAAATGTCCTTCTGAAGAACAGATAAATCTTTCAAAATGAGATTTTCATTAAACTGATGTTGGCCATTAATTGGGTACCACTCAGCACAGCACATCTACTATCTACAATACCTATTTGTGCCAAGAACTGTAAACACAGTGAATGTGGAATAGGTTTTCAAATTAAAGCATTTTGCCCAGATTTTAATAATTTCATAACGATTTTTTGTGTAACATCATAAACCCTGAAAATCTCCAAACTGTGAATTTTGGCAAATTACTACAGAAATGCAGTAAAACTGAGTGGACTACAAACCAAGGTTTACTTTTCTATGTGCATTTTACCAATATTTTAGTAAAATATCTTATAGCAATCAGAAATGACTCAGATTCAGCTTTTTTGTGGTGGGATTTTTTTTTAGAGTATGCAGATTTCATGCACATAGGTGACTAACATTTGCAATGATTATTCCTGCCCTGCAGTATTCTAATTTGAGCAGTTATACTAATACCAATTTAACAGCCATGCTGGTATGTGTGATTTACCCTCTAGGTAACCTATTCTTGCCAATATAATTGATAACAGTATTGGTAACAGTATAATTGGTAACAGATGAAAGCAGGATGCCTTCACTGCTTTCTTCAGCATATTTGCCATCATAAAAAGAAAATGATGTGGCTGAACGGAACACAGACGTCTCAGATATTTATATTTCTTTTAACAGATGATTTGCATTGAGATAGAAAAAGGCTTGGGTGCAAAAAGATTGTGGTCCTATTAATGAAGAAGAGGTTGAAGACATTTCAGTGAGTTCAGGAGTGCTGGTTTGAAGATCTTAAATTGTGTTTTCAGGTGTGTGAGATCAGCAGAACAGCTGAGAGAGAGAAGAGAAAGTGCAATACAGAAAAGCAGATAGAAACAAATGACAAATTTATACATAGAAATTCTACGAAAGGTAAATTTAGGAAGGGGAGGACAATGAAGGTAGGCAGTATAGATAAGGACTAGAGAACTATTCAGTCACCAAACGTGACGGAAGCAGCACTAGAATTGAACACACATTCATGATTCATGCTCATTTTCTAGCAAGTTCACTCTAAAGACTGACTTGAAGACCTTTGCTGAAAAAGCTTTTAATTTTGGACCTTCCAGAGGCTATTGAACCAGAATTCCCACTTCTTACATCTTCCTCTGAATGCTCCTTTGGGTACAAGTAGAGAGAAATAAACAGGGGAATTAATTGGAATGCGAGTCATTTTCTGGCAGCTTTAATGAGCTGGCAGTCTGCAGGCGCTTGGGGATAACTTTTGGGACCTGAAGGCCATCCCAGTCTCCCCCATTATGGAAGCAGAGGATCAAGGGACATTCCTTCACTTCCTGAGCATCGTGTCTGCAGAATAATAAAATACAGCAGAAAAACATGGGTCTTTAAATTCTAGCTTTCACCTTTTCATAAGACAACCATTTTTATCACTATATTTTGAAGGAATGCAATGATTTCTCTTAGATACATACTAAACTGAAAGTTATACAGAACATTTTTCCTCTGCTATGTTTTATCCATTCTTCCCTTAAATCCTAATTCTACACTTAAACTGCCAGGATATTTGCATCTGCTGGAGATCATAATTTAGGGAGTCAACTGCATGCATGAGGGTAGATGCTTATATTCATCCAGAAATCCCAGACTGCAATAGGCAGGCCCATATTTATAGATGAGGCAGGGAGTGGGGCTTTGCTGTGTTTTTATCTGATTTAAAACTTGCAACTTGTTGCTGTAAATATCCTTTCTGAGGAAAAGAATAAAAAAACATGGTAAAAGATAAAAATATTATTTTAAAAATTACAAGATTTTGAAAAAATATGAGTCAGATATGGACTAGGATATATTGTTTCAATTTTTTTATCCTCAAGATAATCTGAGTAAGGTTTAATAATCCTCTGCACGATAAATACTCATATATGCTTACATTTGTAATGCTAAAAAGGCTCCAAAAGTCTAATGTAATAACAAGATACACTTTTAACATTGCAAAAGCTTTGACTAATGATTTGAAGGAATCTTCCAATAAGTGTTAAAAATATTTGCTAAAGTGTCTCAAGGTTTAGACACTGATCCAGCCAAGAGGAAACCATGGTGGACACAGCAGGCAATCCTAAACTGCTTGTCAGAACACTGAATACCTCTCCTTCCTCCACTGGAATGAAAAGAAAACAGAAAATAATAGCTACTGAACACAATATTATTTTCTAGAAAGAGAGAAAGGACTAAAGAGCAGTCTGAAAGTTAATATACCACAAGTAGTTTCAGATGAGGTAGGAAGGGAATAAATTAAGTGCAAAACTTGAATTTTCCTGAAGATTCAGTAAATAAAACACACCGCATTCTCAAGAGCCACTGTAAAAGAAAATTAATTATGTACGTTTAGGACATAATGGTGTTTAATAAGCATTAAGTACACAGGAACATTAGATGGATGGCACAGAAAAAGGCCTTAATTAATCCAATTGGATTCATTTTTTCAAAATGTGTGCAATTAAGAAAATAATTAGAAACAGCTATTTGTATACTGCAGAGGACAGAGATTATTTGTAGTCACAAATACACTATGTCAAACTCTAATTGCAGTTGCGCACATAGAACCTAATTAAAGGGGCATTGTGTGGATTCAAAAGCAACTAAATAACTACAGTGTTTCAAACTCTTATTCCACAAAAAGGTCTACCTTGATGTATTTTCAAGAAGCCTGTTGACAAGGATCTAAAGCTTAGATTTGTCTGTAAAAATGGAAGACCCAGTGTACTGTCCTCTTTTACTGATTTTTCTTTAAATGTGGATTATCACAACATGAGACCTATTTTTTTGTGACTTCTCTCTATCATCTCCCAATTTTTAAAGGACATATGCAAATGAAAACTTACAAAAGAAATGGACTGAAGCAGTATTAGGAATTTGTCAGACTTATGAAAGGAACCTATCAAAATTTTCCATTTTTTTTTCTAGGTAGAAAGGAAGAAGATTCAACTAATACAACATGCTTTTCTGTTCTTACAGAAGTTACCGCTGTTTAATATGTACATCACTGAAGTCAGCTGAGACTTAACAGCATTGCAATTCTCTCTGCAAGGTTAATTATAAGGCTATGAATACTAAGAATTTCTTTTTCCACTGTAATTTTACATTTGAAAATTACTTAGGTTTTGATTTTACAAGTCTTTATTCATGTATGTAAGCATAGGTACATGTCCTGGCATATCAAGGCTTTTCTGCAATCCACTTGAAGGCAGAAGGCCAATTCTGGCAAATGAATACTTGTACCTGTGGAGTAAATCTCCCCAAAACAGTTTCATATGAAAGGATGGTTTGCTTTGATTTGCCTTGGAAAATCTAAACGTCACAACTGAGGCTTGTTTTGGAAATGTGGATATAAGTGATTCTTGTCCAGAGTCAAACCAAACAAAATTGAAGAAAAGAAGTGAAACTAAAACTCTGCTCTTGACTCATCCTAACACTGTCACACAACTAAGAGCAATAGCGTTATGACCAGCACAGTTATTTCATTGGCTAAGAGGCATATAAAGATTGTTATTCAAATGCTCATATAATAAACTATGGAATTAATCAGCTTCTGGGCTGCAATGCTCTCAGTATGATCCAGGCTGACTGACTTGCATGTAAATTTTTTTTCACAAACATAATTGGTATTTGGGATTGCTGACAAAGTGATGGTACAGGCCAATCTCAAACTGTACTAGCAGCACACACAAGATCAAATCCACTTCCCCGTGGCAACCTAGGAGTAGAGAGCACGCCAATATCTCTCAAACCTTGCCTTATGTTGCTGCCTGTGGACAAGGCTAATACAACTGATGTTCACTAGGACAGTTTAAGCCAAAAAAGATGCAAATGAGGCTCTATTTGTGGAGAATATTTCAAATTAATGCTTTTAGTCCTAAACTCTGAGTTTTCTTGAACAAGTCACTCATTAAGCAAATAGGCTCGGAGAGTCAGACAAAAGGCAGAAAATATTACATACAAAATACTAACAGCTTTTGTATAGAACAAATGAAGTGGAATATAAAGGCTAGTTTAAATTATAAAGATGCAGTGAACTATTCTTTTTCACACCCCAACATCACTTATTTTCACTTCATAATGGAACAACACCCTAAATGTTCTAAACACCTCTGCCATGTATTCTTTGGTTTTAGGATTGCATGCTCAATTTACAAATATTTAAGACTTCAAAAGTTTTAATATTAACTAGAGCTGTCATATATTTAATGTCTGAGACTAAACATCTATGGATGATTTGAGCAACTTAAGTTCATCTTTTCAGATGATTTTATGAACATGTTGGGCCTAATTAAAAAATTCAACTCAGCTTCCTTAATTTCTCTTTGACGCCTTAGGAGAAAGTCTTGTTCCTAATAAATCTACTGTAATAACCAAATGCTGGATGAAAAGAGGCTCTTGTCTGAGGTTTATAAATGTCTGGCATATCATTGAGACAAACTGTTAATTACATTTTAATGATGCCTAAGTAGTCAATTGAAACTGAAAGGAATTTTACATCTAAATAGCATCTTCTAAGCAAGAAGCAGGAAAACTTTGAAATTTAGGTTAATGACTCTATAATCACCAGAGAAAGAACTGGTCCCCAGAATTACCATATTCTCTCATGAATCTTTCCAGAGTGAAATGCATTATTCAGTGATCTATTCTATGCATGTAAATTGTGCTAAAACCATGAGACAAGCTGCAGAGTGGTTGTGACTCCACAAGGGCAGAGCAGGGTCGATGCAGGCTCTTGCCACCCAGGGAGGAGGGGGCCAAGGGCACCTGGAGGACCCCCGAGTACCTGCTGGCTCCAGCAGTTGACAATTTTAAACAACGTGCTGCTTCGTCCCTGGGGTGGTGACAACTTTTCTGTATTACTGATGCAGCAGGAGACATTAAAAAATGCGAAACTAGAATTTCAGCATGCTAAGGTGTTTTCTACTTAAGAGATTAATTCAGCTGAAGGAAATACCATGGATAACATAAAAGGAAATCATGCTTTTATAACAGCTTCTGCCCAATTTTAATTTTCTAACTTACAGCTAATTTCAGACTCTGGTGAGGTTAATAAGTACTGTGAGAATGTATGTATCACAGTGATGATTTGGTCTCATGTCAAGGAGACAACACTTATTTTCCTGCACCTGAACTACGATTGAACTGAAAGAGAAGTTTGCTAAGCTGTTAAGAGGGATGAAAGCAATTTCACTTAACTTACATGTGTAAGAAATAAACGAAACCTCAGTATTCAGTGTTATTCCTGCTTCACAGAAAGTGAATTGGCTCTGGGATCACTGTTTGGGGTTTGGTATTTTTTTCCTAAGTAAAAAAGCCAGCATCAAGAAAGCTCTCCCACAGCTGAAACGTAACACAAAGGAGTGTTTCCCTGCTTTAGACCATCTTTTAACTATTCTTCTGGTGGGCCTGGCTCTCCCGAGCTTCTGTGTCCTAATCTAGACTAGCCATAATAATCCTTAAAAGGTGAGGGTGAAGTGCTCTGCTCTCTGTTCCAGAGACTGGGCTCGCTGCCTCTGCAGGGTTTGTAGGGCCTATTGAAAAGTAAAAAGGAAGCAAACTCTCTGATTTAAATCTGACATAGCAAATGATTCTCAGACTTCTCTTAATACCTCTTATAAAGTCCTCACACACATTACTATAACCTTCAGTGTTACACAGCATAGTATTCTCATTTGCAGTTCCCAGATCAGTAATCTTGCAGCTGCTGCATGTATTTGAAGGCTTTACTTCCAGAGAGAGTTAACCATTGTTAAGTGTTGGCAAGAAGGAATCTGACCTACTGAAACAAACTTTCTGGACTGTTTTAACTTAATACTTTCCAAGGTAAAACACACAAATACCTGACTGCATTTTTATTTTTTTTTTCCGAGGAAATGTTAATTCTATTGCATGCTTGCCACTCTAATAACTCATATACATGAGATTCTATAGAATTCTCTCTAACATAAAAGGTTATACTCTACAACTATATTATGTATATATATACATAGACTAGCAATGTATGTTAACCCTTCTCTGACAGTAACTTAAAACAAATCTTAAAAGCAATTGTAAGGTTTCCAGAATGAGAAGCTATTAAGACAGACAAATCCAAAGGAATGAGAAAGAAGTTAAAAATCTTCATGACATAGTTATATAACATTTACTCAGCAGAAATCTACACAGGTCAGACTAGATGACTATTCATAGCCACAAAGGAAAGATGCCTTTCATTCCACCAGAGAACATTTTGATTTTATCTAATCCATAAAGAAACCAGGACAGACAGACACAGGAGAAAAAAAGGAAAGGCTAGAAAAGCAGAAAGCATAGAAAAATCTAATTGTGTGTCCTTAGACAAAAGTCTAATAACAGATTACCTGCACAACTATTATTTCCAGACCCAAAACGTGCAGCACTGTCATATATGAAGTAGTCACATCACACATGCAGTAGAATGTGTCAGGTCTTAAGCTATTTTATTCAGTTTAAGAAACTAACATATGAGAAATTGAAGAAAGTGAACACATTCATGCCTTCAAAGTGATTTCAGTATTGTAGTACCTTCAGTCCTCAGAGCTAAAAGATAGAGGGACTGAAAAAAATTGGTTGATGAAAATTCAATGATATTTTTTATGAATGGTAATGGTGGTCTCAAAGATGCTTTCTAGATTTAGTAAAAAAGCAGAGTAATATACTCCTTACATACATATATTTATAAAAAACTAATGAGTGATAAAAATGCATAGATAAGAAATACAGGGACAATAGTCATCAACTGCACTATCCCTGTGAATATTATTGTGAGTCTTAATTGAATTTAAAATGTTTCTTCTCTCTCACCTAGCACAGTGACTGCTTCTCTAATTGTTAAATTGAGGCTGATTTAAAAGGAAAATTTTCATTTGTACATTACCTGGATGTTCACATTTAAAGTTACACTTCATCAGGAGCTTGATATGAAAGTCGTGATTAAAAATATTCTACATATAAATTTTAAGAGAAGCTGAAACATTAGCCCTAGATTCTTTGGATTAGAATTGCAAATTCTCTTTGAATATTTCAAAGAAATATTAAAAGACTGAAAGAAACCTAAGACCCCTACAAATTTTAAAAATTAGGCTTTCAGAATTCAAATAATGGCCCTAAAATTAATGGTTATGGATGAAGAATAAACCTGTTTGTTTACAGAATGAATTTGCAAAGTCATTTTAAGTTCCACCTTCTTTCTCTGACACTCTCTAATTATACTGGAACTGTGATGCTGCCAAGATTTTTCTTTTGTGCTTGTAGCTTTATTTAATAGTTCTTAGCTCCTGGCAGCTGCTATGAGTCAGTGCACGGGTTTTACAAGGAGGTTCACCAAAGACAGCATTAAATTATTATATAACAAAAAGCTAGGTTGTCGATTTCTGAGAGGCAAGCTGATAGGATTAATGAGGAGCCTTTGACTTCTATAGACAGAAATAATCATGTATTCAATAGATAATGCAAAAATCTTTTTTTCCTTTCTGAAAAATCTATGTAGTGAGTCATTAAATACCTGCATGTTTTTTTTAAGAATTGCATGGTAGGCAAATGGCATGGACCTAACAACAAGGTGAAATGGAAAATCTCTCTGTCTCATAAACCTATGTTCTTTCACAAAAGCAAAACTATTGTACAATTGGCAGACTCTAAATATTTTTCTCTACATTCTATATGCAGCTTTAAAAACTTTTACAATGGAAAAAATATGTTAAGTGGTAAACTGCCATAGTAGATAGTCTTGCTTCTCATTACATGTCTATATAAAACCAACAGAAAACCTGACAATTGAATCAAGTCAGAGTCAATGAAAGTCATATGGAAACGGTACTCACTTTTTCTTTAGTCTTCGGTCCTTTTCTGCTTGAGTTCCCAGCTTCCCTAATCCTAGAGATTCCTGAGCTGCTGCCTCTGTTTCCATGTAACCTCCTGGAAAACAAAACAAAATAAACAAACCCCACCATATTTTCCCGTAGCTCTTTCCCACTTGTTCTCCTCCTCTGTCCTTCAATCTCCTTCCCACCCATCACCATCATCTATGCTTGTTTCCATCAGCCATGACATCTCATGTTTGTGGACATCTAATTAAATTCTGGCATGCATTTACTACAAGAAAAAGAGTAGAAGTAGAGGGGAAAAATTGTTATCCCTGCAAATTCACAAGCCAGAGATGACACAGAGAATCTGTCAGAGAGTAAAAAGCCTCTTAGGTCTCCCCAGAGGTGTTCTGTAGGTACCTAGATCATGTCAGAGTCACAGGAACTAGAATAATTTGCACTGAGTGACAAGGGAGACCTGCAGTAAGCAAGGACACCTGGATCCTGAACATGAACATCCCTGGAAACATTCGAGGTCAAGCTTGATGAGACTCTGAGCAGCCTGATCTAGTAGAAGATGTCTCTGCTCACTGCAGGGTAGTTGGACTGGATGACCTCTGAAGGGCCCTTCCAACACAAACCATTCTATGGTTCTAAGACTCTAGGAGCAAAACAAAATCATATTATAAACTAAGGATGTGACTGGTATTGTTAGGATCCATGCCTATTGTACAATATGTCCATTAACATGACTTTCTTAGTGCAGAAGCAGAAAGATGCTCTGATTTTTTGGCACTGTCTGGATTCAAGGAAAAAGGGACCTGCTCGTGAAGCTGGCAGTAACAGTCTCCTGGCTCAGTCTCCACCTCGTCCTCTCATTTGCACAAGTATGTGTGCAAACAGTGGGACTGCAGCATTTCTTTGAAGGCTTCTTTCCTCCCATGCTGCTATGCAGAAGGTAACTGGCACAGTAAGGAAGATAAGAGTATGGTAAATGATGGTGCTCAACCCCATTTGGCAATGGCAACTTTTTGTTTCTCAGCTAATGGATAGGGAACAACTGTAGAGTAGACACTGGCACAATTAAGAAATCATAGTATAAATTAAAATATTTCTATTCTGATTCATTGATTTTAAACACCAAAAAAAAGCATAAATGTTATATAGTGAAATAGCATCAAAGCCTTTCACAAGTCACATTTACATGCACCTCAATCAAGTGAGAACAAAACCTACTGCTGTATCATGTTTATGACGTTAACTTAAAAAATCCTGGGTTTAAACTGTCCTTTCAATGCAGGTGTGGTTTTAACACTCCTGCTTGTCTAGACAAAATTTTTCTTTACTAAAGAGGGCACTGCTTCTGCAAGCTTCACGACCAGAATGATGCCTCCAATCACAAATGCAGAAAACACAAACGTATACCTAGTTTTACTTCATCTGCCTTTCAAAGTTTTACAGAATATCTCGTGAAATGTTTCTCGCCGGCGCTGGAGCAAGTTTTTAAGGTAGCAAACTGCTGTATCAGCGCATCGCACCTTTCTGAGAGAGCAGCTCGCCAACTAGGTTAGATAGGGATGGTGTGAGTGCAGCGCAACGAGGGTTTATCACGGGCTGGGAAGTATTCTTTGGCATCACCAAAAGACAAACACATCTGGCCCTTTGACTAAGCCAGGGTACATGGCACTGGGGGTGGTGATGGTGCCTATTAGTATCTTACATCAGGATAAATGTTTCCTTGCGAGCTGCTGACTTTTGCAAACATCATACAAATCAGCTGGTCTGGGAAGGACTGAAAATCCCCGCAATATATAGTTTGTTTTAGGGACTAGAATGTTTAGAAGGTGACATGAGAAGAATATGGAAGTGTCTAGTGTGGTATTCCCCGAGTGAGAGAAGACTGAGTAAGTTTAAAACCAACCAAATAAATAAATAAATTTAGAAAGAAACAAAGGTGGTCATGCTTCCTGTAACATTCGTTTTTCCTTCTCTAATAATTAAAAGAAATCTTGAAGAATCTAGAAATCTTGAATCTTGATTCTAGGAAAGATCTCCTGAGGCATGAATTTAACTTTGAAAAATAATGCAGAGATGGTTAAAGTAGCAAATTATAAAGTAACAAAACTCTGCCAAGTTTAACAGCTGACAGGTAATAATTTCAGAGTGTTGCAGGGAATAGAGAGCAAGGAAATCTTTTGGGTGATAGTCTGGCTCTGTTGAAGTTGGTAATAAAACTTTGGAGGTTCCAATATTGCTTCTTAAATATGAGTATATAGTACATGTAATTTTAGAGATATTATAGAGTTATTTAAAGAAGTGTCTTTACAGTGTATAATATCACTGCGATCCCTAATATCCTCTGCACTGACAAGAACTTTTAAAGTTCTCCTTCAAGTGTAATTGTGCGGATGTACAAATACGTATGTAAGAAAAAATATTAATGTTTGTGAGGCTCAAAATTACATTTATTACCTCTTTAGTATTTGATGTGCTATTGAAGAAAAGGTATTTTCCATATTCAAAAATATAAAAAGTGTACCTACATCAATTTATTTAATTTAAGCATGGAATTAAATAAAATCCATATTTTTTTATTTTGCATTATAGATTTAGGTTATGAAAATCACATATATGCTGTAGTGCAGTAATGACAGGACTTAGTATCTGGATTTCTGTGATATAGTATCTTACTATAAAAAGAACTATTTATTTTATAGCTGCATAGACAGAGTACCTGTCATGCAATTGATTCAAGTACTACTGTTATTGCTATTTTTAAAATCTTGTTTTGCTTTAAAATACTGTCATTGAATGGAAATTGCCACTCAATATTCTTTTGGTATCTTAAAAAATAAGATAAGAAAAGTTATTCTACAATTCAGCTGTTCAATGTAATCTCAATTTCCTCTGTTTTGGTCAGTTAACAGTCCTACTGTTAATTTTATATATGCTTGTAAATCTAGCTTGCTTAATTAAAATGTGCATTATACTGAAATCTTTGCTATCTAGCTAAAAGATGGAAGCCATAAAATTTTCATTTAATTGCAAATCTTAACTAATATCTTTTTGCAATTTCAGGAGCCAGTGTTAGGAATTACAAATAGGCTTTATCCAGTTATACATATGTCTCATTAATCATGGTGGGCATTATTAAGAAATTAATCTATTGCTAGATTACATTGCTCCTGAGATAATCTTTTAAATTGTTATTTCATTTTTGTTCTACATTGCAGGGTACTGCAGAGAAGGCCAACACATTTATTATATCTTTGTCCTCTGCGTTCCTGAGTTACTGTGAAATCACAGATTACTATGCATAATTCATCAGTATCAATAAACTTGGGTTTATGGAATGTAAATGGGAATTAATAACACAGTCTAAAGTTATAAAATTCTCCATCAGTGCAGATGGTGACATGCAGGTGTATCCAAGAGACCCATTTAATGGAATCTGAAATACATTAAACTATCAAAAAGATTGAATAAATCAGTTTTATTCCTCCCATAGTGAGAAAAAAGGGATTTTAAATTGCAACTTCAAATCAGTTTGGTTTTTTGCTTCTTTTTTTTTAAAGAACACAATGTTCTCAACAAGCAGAGAGGAGAAAGCTTGAAATATACGTGGAGAATACTCAGTTATCTGGTTTTACTCTGATATGTTGACCTTAATATTTTTTTGGGTTTTTTTTACTCTGTACATTATAGTGACGGGTTTGTCAGTTGTGTTAAGAATATGTTGTAATTCAAATTTAGGAGGTTTTATTTCAGATTTATATATTGCTTAATAGTTCACAGTTACCACAAATGCTTAAAATTCTTTTACAGGTGTTATGTGGCCACCATGGCAGTAAAAACATAGTGCCTCACAAACTCATACTGTGCAACATCTTTGTGACTAGGAAAGAGT